TCCATCATCGACAGACTTGGAACATAAGAAATCATCTTCATCGCGAAGATTATCCACCATCGGGGAGGAGTGTGAATCAATGGTTGAAATATCTTGGATATCAACTGATAGGAACAACTTCTCCCGTGCATCTTATGCCATAAACAATTATAGGTAAATCCTTAGGCATAACATAGTAAAATTTACTATAAGAACACGAACATGAAATCTTTTCATTTCCAGTATATGGATTTATTAATTGGAGTTGAAATATCTTGGATATCGATGAGGCCTTCTTGGATGAAAATGGCTTTGTTGTTGTTTAATCAGTAATCACGAAGTATTTTAATTTGTGAATTCTATGAAAACAGTGTTTGTACTCTTTTATGTAATCTCTATTTCTTTTTATATCAAGGCCTTGACGTTGTTACGACAGCCATATTTGTTTCTATCTACCATTTCAAAAAGTTGGAAGTGATGTGCTCTTCTCGACTAATAGTTCCAGACTTAAAGTGATCCCTGCTCATCTATGGAAGTATGAAACTAAGTTGTGCTGCTTTTTGAATATGATTGGATGGTCTTATCTGCAAAAAATTGTTTTTAATCTTCATGAAGTATGCCAGGAAATTTCTTTTGGTTAATGAACCCTTTTAGAAACTTTAGGCAAGTAGTCTGTGGCAAAGAAARGAGAGATACAAAGTGGTGAACATTGTAATGGATGACTTATCAGTTATCACTAGTGTAGCTTTGCTAGGCTTCCATGTTAAGCCCAAGTCTCTTTTTTTCCCTTCAAAATTCTTTATTTTGAAAAATATTAAAGATTTCAGTTGCAACTTTTAATTAGTGCGTTTACCTTGCAATGTAGTTGTTACCAAGCAAAGTAAGGCAAGTTCTTCTTAAATACAAGTTACATTTCAGTAGTGCATGTTGTTTTATCAATTGGGGGAAATACAAAGTAAAATTTAGTATGTTTTTTAGAGGAAGAAAAGGAAAATTGGAGTGGATTAGTTTACATTTTTGTCCACTGTATTGTTTTCCTCGCTGTGATTGCTGATGAATGGTAGCCATTTGCTGTTTTTGGGTTCATTGTTCTTATCATTTCTTATCTAATTGATATAATATCAGAGGTACTGCAATTCCTTGTTGAAAAACATCGTATTCTACATCTATGGAGAAATGTTATGTGATTCATACTTAGATAGAAAATATCTTCTCTCTGAGTAAAAGGTAGTTYCGAATCTTTATCTCGAATTCATCTGTCAATAACGTGGGTTTCTCTCTGTATAGTGCAGGCTGCTTCTAAAACCTAGTGGCCATGAACCTGATTCATTGAAGTCCAACTAAGAACCATCTTCATGAATAGATAGCAACTAAGAAACATGTTCATTGATKATTAACATACTTAATGGATAAACTTCACATAAAACAACATGTAATGGGCCATAATACTTAGTGAAYCTGTTCATAGTTGCTGTAATTGGCCATAATACTTAGTGAACATGAAATTGGCCAATGTAATCATTGAACCTGTTTCATAGTTGCCAAATTAAAGAGCAAATTGAGCCATGAACCAGATTCATTAAAGTTGTTGTTCATAGTGGTGATGAACTACATCAAACACACAGATTCAGCAACAATTTCTATGAAACTAAACAGCAAAAAAAAAAATTACCAACCACTGATAACATTGACTTCACTACAATAAGAATGAAACAACTTGGGGTTTCTTCCAATAGATATGCATTTTGTCCCAAAATCATGTACCATACAAATTTACAGCTTTAAAACGAT